CATGCAAGCTTTTTTTAGAACTACTATCCTCCGTCCTAACACTTCAGAAATGTGTATCTTGTTCATTTTTATGCTGTCTTTTTGTTCACGAAGAAGCTGATAAACCTATTAACAACAGTGACTTCCTAGTTTCTTTTTGTTGTTATGGTACCGAAAGATGTTGGCCAGCACTCTGATTCTGTACATTTCGGTCAATCGATTACTGAAATAAGTGATATTCTTTACATCAAGGATTTTCACAGTAAAGATCTAACTATAAAAATCCTTAGTATGATCTTTATACTAGAACAGATCTCTGTCCTTACCATCACCGAAGGATATTACAGATATTTGATGTAATTCACTTTAAGTAGCCGCCTCTTCTTGAAATAATTCTAAGACTATCAGAAAAGTAGAAGAACTCAGGAAACATAGAGTCATACAGTGAATAGAGAAGCAAATTAGTTGCATAGTCTAACAAATATCAGACTCGGCTGCTAACTCCCGCCAGTACTTATGAATTAAGATGCATCGGCTTGTTATTTTTGTCAATGTCTAGGTTCTTTCATTAATGATTTGTGTCTGATGCTGAGCAATAAGAGGCAGTAACTTATCGAAATAGTCCTGCCCGTCAGAGCTTTTACACGCACACGAAACTAGAACAACAGGTTTTCAAGCTATGATTTCTGATAGTCCACTAAACTCAAGAAAACATTTTCAACTTAAAATTATTCTAAAGAAAGGTATGATTTAGTGCTCCTGAGTTGTAAACATGCCCTTCTTTAAATCATTTCTATTAATCAAATAGAAATATATATGTTACTGAATAAAATTGGACATGTACTTTCTAATCCTAAGGAAATTGAGGGTAAGAGAATCAAAGCTGACAAATCCATCGTTAAGCCATTAAAACCTCACAAATTACACAACTGAAAATTGCACTTGTAGTTCAAAAGTAACAGTAAAAACTGCACCAAATCTTACTCGTTAAAATAAGATAAAGTTTCCAAATGTGACATTGAAGATAAATTAGAAAATGTTAATAAGCAGCTAATTTGCACACGGTGAATGGTTAATATGTGAAATTCCGTTACAGTGTAATTGTTGTTTATAATTAAAACCATATTTAGAGAATTAGAGTATTACGTGAGATAAAACATAATCTTAATAAATACGCCCATGTCGCGACGACTGTTTAGATTTTTATATGTAGGTAAATTACCTGTGAAACCCCCTTTTACCTGTTTTGTAGTTTCGTTATTCCCATTCCTCTCCCTTTCTTGTCCTTTTTATACCTTTTGATTAACATTAAGACATAAGACATTAATATAATGATGCTTGCTATAATAGAAGAACACTATCATGTATTTACATATTGTTAATATCTGTCATTTGTTCTTTATTGAAATTTCTATTTTGTGCTGCATTTTTCAAAATTATGATTTATATAATTATGACGAATATCGATATGCAAGTTGAAAGAGAATAAAGGAATTCATTGTAATATAATTATGCGCAAGAGAAGGGAGAATCAACAAAACAGTTACATTTGCTTGATATTCTCAACTATTGCATTTTGTATATACATGACATAAAAGAAGCTATTAAGATGCGATATGATTGCCAATGAGACAAAGTAAGTTCTATCCATAAGAGACCATATGCTTATTTCTCTTGCATTGTTACCTATTGCATTATGTATACTGTGCTTAGATATAGGAAGATGTGGTATGAGTGCCAATGAGACAACTCTCCATCCAAGTTACAATTTATAAAAGTAAACCATTATAGGTCAAGGTACGGCCTTCAACACGGAGCATTGTCTCACACCGAACAGCAAGCTATAAAGGGCCCCAAAAAATTACTTGTATGTTTGTATGAATTATTTGTACTATTCTCGTTACTTTTTTACATTATTGGTAATATGCTCGTTTAACTTTTACATTATATATACATGGATGCGGATTACTTTTTGCAACAACTTATACTTGAGTTACTTTTTGCATTGTGTAAGCTATGTTCGTTACTTTTCACATTGCGTAAGTTAATGTTCACATTGTTTTTGGCATTTCAAATGTATTCTCAAAGAAAGTGTATATACTCCTACGTGCTCGAAAATCAAAATGGTTTATTGAATTAGTGATGATTATAAAAAAACATCATGACAATCTTTTAAATCTCAAATGATTGTCATCAAGTATTTACAAGGAGCCTTACATTTTTACTTCAAATAAATTGCGAATGTGGTATCAAGTAATTGGGATATAAATAATTTCTGGCATCCAATTTGTTTAACGTTTTTGACACTTTTGTTCGTTTTACATTTCGTTCTGAATCATTAATAAATAACGTTTGTCGCAGTGACCACAAGTTTAATTAAAAATAACATTCATTAAATTCTTGTACTGACTCAATCAATTTAAGAATAGTAATTGTATCTTGTTGACCACGCCAGTTGTTTTGTTGAGGAGGACTGTTTATAACAACTGACCACATTTTATGAGATGTTTTACGAGTATCTTTCTTGTAAGGTATCTTGGTTTATGAGTATCAAGTGGATTTAGTTCTCCACCTGGCTCAGGGTAATATAAAGCTATCATAACAAAATGTAATAATTTATATGAATTAACAAATAACCCACACAGAGTACTTGGCTTTGTTAAGAAAATGAAGTTGCATTGTCTAAATATCTACATCAGATAAATTAACATCAGAATAGAATTTATTTCAGATGCTTAATGTTTATTATGTTTGATTAGTCTTGTAAATTCCTTCTTTTTGTGTGCTGTGATAAATTTTCATTGTGTATTATTGTTGTTTGAGGAGGTATTTTAAACAAGTAAAGTCTGGATATTGTCATGAAAACTGCACCGACACATATTTTTCAGGTTCTCTTACAGTTACATTGTTGTTTATTGTTTGTCAATGTGTCTTTACTCAACATGGTGAGATTATTGTTTGTTGTTTCTGCAATTTGTTGAGGTAATTGTTTGATATCTCATGTAACTCCGGTCATTAAATTTTTTTTTTAAAAAGGGGCAAGATACTAAAGGCCAATTAAAACAATACCATAACTGATAAAAAAAAAAACAGAGGGTAAGAGAAAATAGATGAACAGAAAAACAACAGTCCGCAAAACACTACACAGAAAACTAAAGATTAGGCAAAACAAGCCTCACCAAAATAAGTGGGGTACTCAGGTGCTCCGAAAGGGTAAGAATTTCCTGTTCCACTAAGTGACACAAGACGTGTTGCTCATGGCAAGTAAAAGTTCGGTGATTAGATCAAGACGACTAGACGATTCTCATCGTTAATCGATACAATATTCAAGACAACTAGACGGTACCCATCGATAACAGATACAATATCCAAGACAACTAGACGATATTCATAGATAACCGATACAATATTCAAGACAAATTGACGATACTCATAGATAACCGATACAATATTCAAGACAACTAGACGGTACTCATCGATAACCGATACAATATTCAAGACAATTAGACGGTAATCATCGATAACCGATATAATATTCAAGACAACTAGACGATACTCATAGATAACCGATACAATATCTAAGACAACTAGACGATACTCATAGATAACCGATACAATATCCAAGACAACTTGACGATACTCATAGATAACCGATACAATATCCAAGACAACTAGACGATACTCATCGATAACCGATACAATATTAAAGACAACTAGACGGAACTCATCGATAACCGATACAACATTCAAGACAACTAGACTATACTCAAAGATAACCGATACAATATTCAAGACAATTAGACTATACTCATAGATAACCGATACAATATCCAAGACAACTAGACGATACTCATAGATAACAGACACAATATCCAAGACAACTTGACGATACTCATAGATAACCGATACAATATTCAAGACAACTTGACGATACTCATAGATAACCGAAACAATGTTCGGGACAACTAGACGATACTCATAGATAACCGATACATAATTCAAATATCGTGTGCACTGTAATCAGTAGCATAAGTTTATTGCTAGAAAAATCCACCATTGTGGCACAAATAAAAAAATAAAAATTCATTGTACAGCAAAAGTGATAGTTTTAAACAACCAGCGAGTTTGACACTTCATGCAGCTGTGCACTACTAGTACCAACAGCAAAAACATAATCATTTATCTAAACGTTAAGGAACATGCAGATTAAATACGATTCCTATGTCGATTACAGTACATTAACAAAATAAAGACTGTCGATGTATTTATTACCTCTAAAACGTGTTCTTTCACGGATAGTTTATGAAGAGGAGTTAATTTTTGGAATGTTCAGAAAGTTAAATACCGATTTTATATTAGAACTTTAAGCAAAAGTGTGCAATATAAATATCCACTATGAAATGTATCACCAAGACAATTTCAGTGAGAGACCCTTATGGGAAGTCGATGTAGTTAAACACCCCTGTGGTAGTTGTAGATTTATGTGCATCATGCAAAATGTGCAGTCCATTTTCGCATCAGCCTTAAACTGGTTATCCTAGTCTAAAATATTTCAGTAGAATATTTAAGCCATATTTATATACTGGAACATTATTGTTTGCTTCTTCGTCTGATACTACAGAAAATAAATAACTTTGCAAAACATTCTGCTTTGATTTTATTCTTATCCTAAAAAGAAAACAATACAGTCAATTAATCTCATGTTAGCTTCCCTCGATATGCAATATATAAAACACGGGACAGGATAAAGATAATACATAATTAATATTTATACTTTGTTTTCAATTCTGGATACCGAATATATTACTTTTAATGATAGTCTTACTTTCAAAATATTTCATTGGTGTGTCAGATAACATTTCGAACGTATATATAGTTACATTGTATTTACAACATTTCTAACGTTTATATAGTTACATTGTATTTACAACATTTCTAACGTATATAGTTACATTGTATTTACAATATTTCTAACGTATATATAGTTACATTGTATTTACATGTTATATTCACTTTTACAGCATATTCAGTAGCTGGTGTATTCGATGAACTTCCATCAAAAGACACTAACATTAAATGTCCATCTACCAATGAAGAGACAGAAAGATTGTACCCTCCGAAGTTCAGAGGAGTTTGGACATCGTCGAGGTAACATAATAATTCTATTGTAGAGTTTGATTCACATCAAAACTTTTTGTGGTGGTTCCTTTCTCAACAAAATTTACCTCACATTCTCCCCGCTTCCGTACTCCTGTCAAAGAAAGTGCAACACCTAAATAATGAACTTGTAACAATTTCCAGTTTACTGTATTATGGTCAACCATGAAAGTATTATAATTATAGTATACAATACTTCCATGGTTCAACACTAAGTAGATAGCTTAAATCTTCCATAATTGATAAGCATAAAGAAACACATTTATTAACTAACTGACTCCAAAAAATGTACACATAATGCAAGTACAGATGTATATTAAGACCACATTAAACAAATGGAACATCGTTTACCTTTGAAATAGACTTGAAACTTAATAAGATTTTAGTTTCTTTTGAGCTGTTTATTGTATACATAGTCAGAAACCTCATATTTCTGAACTAAATATGATTGATGCATTCAGTTTGCTGAAGCGATTGCTTATATTTAAGGTGTTCCTATAGACATCAATGGTCTGTAGACTTGCGACAAGTTTAGTTTAACTGTATTCATATTCATCTACTTGTAACAATTGTATACTGAATGTTGTGCGAAATCAAGTCAGTATTTGACTTTTATCAATATATATTATAATGTTTTTTTTTTTAAATTTATAAAATTAGATTAATATATAAAAGAGAAAGAGAGGTGGAAATTAAAACAAATATATGTGGTCTGATCATCGGGCACTATTTCAGGAGAAATAATAAAATGATAATTTGCTGTATATCTATCAATGTTTCAAATTAGAAATTTACATTAAATTCAATTCTTAAACTGTCATAAAAACCAGGAATAAAAATGACAAATAGAAGTAAAATAAACTTTAGATTTAATAAAGCTTTAATGGACCTAGGTGCGAAAACGATGTAATAATTCCACAATTTCTAAATAATTATTGACCATTCTTATTTGCCTTGTCAAGAGCAATCAGACATGTTTAATTTGTACAAAGTGAATAAATACAACGATCACACTTATGTATTAAATACTGTGTCAACTAAGTAACTTCCACTTTACTACAAAACACGGAGGGCTAATATTTGCAGAAAAAAACCAAAAACTTCTTATTATTATCCTTAAGTAAAGTGACAAAACGGGACAAAAGAAATTTTTCGAGTCGACACCTAGCATTATTTGTATAAGAGATTAGGCCACGATAGATAAATTTTTTGTTCTTTTTCTGCATGTATTCTGTCCGTATAAACTATATAAGTGAAAAAAGATAATGTATCTTCATCTCGTGACGATTGTAAATTTCTTTTTACATTTAAAAAAAGGAAAACATCCAGTTTGTTGCTTTTATCAATGTAGGCTCGTTATTTTAAACAACAACAAAAATTCTCTTTAAAAATCTTAATCAAAAGATCAAAAGTAAAGATGATAGGAGTGCAGATACTTGTAAGACAACGTTCCGTTTATGACCAAAGGACTTAACATGACTACCTTCATATCTACAGATCACAGTTCATTAACTATGGGCGAAGACCCATGCCATAAAGTAAGAAATAAATGGTCACCAAAAACCAAATATAAAAACCCAAAAAAGAGACGAAAAATCAATTGCCGTTCGTCAACCTCTCTTTATGTAAATTGTTTCAATGTAGTGATAATAAATTTAAAACTCGTGTTTGTCCTTACAATTTGAAAACAACATACAAATTAATTTGCTTGGCCTAAATGATGATATTAAGGGTAACAGGATCCGACGCTGTTACGTGTTAATGGTCATAAAGAACAAGATATCCCTGTAGTTCATCATTAGAGGGGTAAATGTGATAAGGATTGGTGGATTTATATGATAACAACAAAAAAAGGACATCTAGATAAAAACCAGCACGAATTTAAAATAGGAAGATAGTTTTGAAATGAAATACGTTTGTTTAAAATGACAAGAATTATTACTAAAAAGGGTGGATTATTTACAGAAAAGCTGACTGTAGTGTAACATTTCTCCTTGTGTATATATAGTATTACAAAGAAGGAATCTGTTTGTCTATGGTTTATATACTATTCTCGTAATTGATACTAAGTAATTACCACTGTATTGTATCTGTTAAGTAAATGTCCGCTTCAACATTTCAACTCAGTACTTCTGGAAAACTCCGCGTCGAACCTCTCATAGTATAAAGGTATTTTAACGACTTGACCACAGATAAATTTCACTTTTATTCGTGAGTAAAGTAACAAAACAGGACAAAAATGAAATTTCTTTCAAACTTTAACTTTCTTACGGTTATTTAGAGGTTTTCAATGTTTTAATATTAAACTACATTTTTATACGAAGATTTAGTTATGAATAGCTGGGCGCGGTTCTAAATTTGCGCCAATGTGTCGCTCGTTTGGGCCACAATTAAATTATTCATTTGCACAAACAAATTAAGTACATACTGTATATATCAAATGCGCAAAAGAATAATTCATTAGCTCCAAGGTGCAACAAAAATACGAGTATAATTGAGCAATCATAGTACTATGGATGATGATAACCGACTTTAGTCCTTCTCTATCTGTGCTTGAGTCATGTTTTAAGTATGCCTTGAATGTACAACAGCTAAAGCTATATGCACTAGCTCAGACATTCGACCAGCGACTGGCTTATATGGTCCAACGTCCTACTAAAAATTGCAACACATTTAGCATCGCAACTTATTTCTACAAAAGTAACCAACTATTTGTTGGACTCATATTTTTAATCGCAACTTCCATCTAAATGTGTATTACTTGAAACGTTTTGAAAGTTTAAAATTGGGCAAGTGAACATTACTTTTAAACCGGTTACATATTTAGATACATGTTATAGATAATGCATTTTTTAAGGTTTTCTTGTCGTATAAATCATCGAGGGTGTCAGAATTGATCAAATAAAGGCCTACCGTAGGGACACCCTGACAAGAAAAACCTTAAAATGTGCATTATCTATAGCGTGATGCCATGACAGTCCCCGATAGTTTCTCTCTCAACTGTTAAGACTGCGGACGATTTATAGCTTGCTATAATGCATAGACACTGACCTTTTCTTGAAGAATGCATGTTGCTCGTTCATGTTTTTTTTTTATTTTATATTTTTGTCACTGAGTTGCAGTCTCATTTAAGTATACCCCACATCTACTTTTATTCCTAGCCAACATGATAAAGCCTTTGTGTCTATTATTAAGACTGACACAGCTATTATTATTATCCGCTGTCTTTCATTAAGGCGAGAGAAGTAAACAAAAAATGAATTGATTGATAAAGTAATAACTGCTGCTCTTAGAATCAATATAGAAATAAAACATTTAGAAGTCCACACATTCGATAGGTTTCACTTTTATCTACTGGATGGATACATGTTTTCCAGTAGTGTTTGACTATTGGTATCTAAGGACATTATCCGTAAAATGACCAGCGCTTCTTCTTCTTCCATTAATTTGCATTCCACCTCTGGTGTATAGTCGAAAATGACTATTTACACATGCCTAAAGGAAACATCTTTCCAACAAACTATGTACACAAATCCAGTTAAAAGCCATCATGGTGTTATTTACAATTAAAACTGAAATGTCTAACATGAAGCAAGTGTCTGTAGGCTGGCTTTGAATCCTTCCAATGTGGAAGCTGTGACGACAGCAGATCGTAGTTTTTTTCCATAGACGAATTGCAGATGGAAAAAATGATTGCTGATGGGATTGTATTCTCGAGTAGGGTAGTAGGAATCTGGTATCATGTCCTCTTGTTGTTAATGCTACACCCCTCGGTATTAAGTATTGTTCTGGTGGTATTACAACAAGATGTTGTATTATGCGGTAGAGCATGATGGTCTTTACTCTCTTCCTGTGTTCTTGTAATTCGACCCATTGCAGGGCTTCTAACATCTGGGTTACACTACTGGTGTGTTTCTGTAGTCGCCAGTTACAAAACGTGCTGCTCTTCTCTGCACCATTTCTAATTCTCTGATGTTTTTCTGAGTTATTAGGTCCCAAATGATACAATCGTTCTCCATAATTGGTCTTACCAGTGTGGTATAACATTGTGCCTTAATCTTATTTGGACAGGAGCTGATATTTTTTCTCAAGAAAGAATTGATGGTGTTCGCTTTCTTGGTTACTGTGCCTATGTGATAGTTCCATGATAAGTTGTGGCTGATATTAAGGCCTAGGTATTTTGCGTTCTTTACAACTTTAATGTCTTTCAATGTATGGTGTAGTTCTTGGTAATTGATTTCCTTTTATTTGTTATCGGTAGTACATCGCATTTGTCAGGGTTTAATTGCATGAGCCATGTGTCTTCCCATTTCTGTAGATTGTCTAGGTCTTTCTGGAGTAAGATGGTATTCTCCTCTTTACATATCTTTCTGTAAAGTAAGCAATCATCTGCGAATAATCTAGCTTTAGATGTTACTAGTTCTGGCAGGTCATTCATATATACAAGACAGAGAAGAGGCCCCATTACAGTTCCTTGGGGAACTCCAGATGTTACGTCTTATGTTTCTGACTTCTTTCCATCTAACTGTAACATCAGTATTTTATTACTTCGATGATAAAATCTTGAACTTATTTTTCAACTCTCCGATTAATAAAGTTATTCTTGTTAGTACCGTCATAAGTATATGCCAAAACTATTTTACGAAGTTAAGTTCAGCAGAAACTTTGTTTTCTACGATTGAAGGCACTTATTAAATTACTAAATTACTAAATTATTACATTTTTTTCACGAATCACCAAACGATATTTTTTTTTCACTCAGAAGCTACCGCTGCACATTTCATGATCTGAATATCTTTTTTTTTTTTAAATTATGGATATGGACATTTTCGATAAAGCTCAGTTTAGAAATTCCAGCTTGATCTGCTTTGATATACAGGAGATTGTAATTTTTACACTGCCTAAAACGTGTAAGATCATCGTAGTTTTCAGTGGTTGTCGTTTGTTGATGTCGTTCTTAAGTGTTTTTTCGTTTCTCGTTTTTTATGTAGATTAGACCGTTGGTTTTCCTATTTGAATTTTTATTACACTAGTCATTTTGGGGTCCTTTATAGCTTGCTATTCGGTGTGAGCCAAGGCTCCGTGTTGAAGGCCGTACTTTGACCTATAATTGTTTACCTTTTATATATGGTGACTTATATGGAGAGTTGTCTCATTGGCTTCTTATTTCTATTAATAAAGAATAAGCAGAATAGCTGTTCAGACCCTGCTTATTTATTCTGCTCATCAATTTTTCAGAAAAGACTATATTGATGCAAAAAAAGAAGGGAACAACATACAGTAAAATAGAACAAACTTACTATGTATTAAAAGACTAAGTAAACATCAGATATATAATATATATTCAACTATCAATCTACTTTCTTTTATTTCTTTCAAAAATTCGAATGAATGAAACGATGAGCACTTATCAGACTGTCGAGTGTTTGTATAGCTATAGTCTGGTGTCGTCCATTGGCATCCTACTGATTCATTCAAACATATACAAATATTTCTACACCGTTTAATACTCTGAATGTTAACTATTTAATTACTGCTACATTTAGTACTATATCACATATCTTAATATTTATCTCTTGTATCTAATTGAATTTTAATGTGCATCTGATATATGTTTTGCCATTTGAGAGGTTGGCATGTGTCATTGGGCGAATTGTTAGAGATATAGTTTATTAATAAACTCGACACGCACCTGTTAAAATTGTAATTGAAGTAATAAAACTTTTGCCTAAAGTGTTTCTCTCTGCAGCAAAAGTAATGAGACAGCTTTGCTCCAGCTTTGACCCAGCCAATAAATAAGCTTTTAACTACAGAGAATAAGACTTCGATTAACAATTTTATAAAACCGTCTCCACTTTGAAAGGATATACCTTATGTCGATACAGTGTAATATGTAAATTAATTAGAATAAAATCTTACATTGGAGTCTATATAAAATAAAGTTCCCATAAAATATCTCTTGAACTGATTATAGAAATGTACATTGTGTTATGGGTTTTCTAAATTTTTTGGGGGTACAGATAATTTTGTAATCTGCATTTTATTATTTCAGATGTGAAACCAGACCCGGTCCGGAATTTTTAGTACGAAAATACATATTCCGACGTAAAAAGTTTAAATTGAACCAGTTTTACTACTTTGATGCACAGTGTACCAGACCGAAGTATGGCATCACAGCAGAAGGGTCAATCAAAGTTCAGCAAATGTCATGGGTGGTCCGAGGCGGTGCCGAGTCAGTGTACAGGCTCTATAATGTAACGATCAATCCATATAATAAACACTTCGCAAGAAAGCTTAGCAAGAGAATTAAAATGTATTGCAAGTCATTACATGGTATGAATCTTAAGAGATATAGAAAATATAAAATATTCAACTTTCCACGAAAATTCCAGAAATCCAAAGATTTTGATTGTACAGGACTTTTATCTTTATCATTCCACGAATTGCAGCTATTGAAAGTTGAATTAAAAAAGAAAACAAACTTGAATTCGCATAATTCTTACTTAAATGATAACCAAATAAGCAGGTACCAGAAACCTACTCGTTTGCTGTACCTGGGGAATATACATACAGATATTAAACAGAGATCAACATATAGACCGTATAGTTACCAGACACCACTCAAGAAGGGTAATGTAAGTATGATTGTTCTTTGCAAGTTATCAAATTTTAATTTACAACTTTCTATAGTGTCCTAATACAGATCAAACGGTTACCAGACAATGTTAGTAATGAAGAAAAGTAAGCATGAAATCATACACAATGCAAACATCAACATAAATACAGTACAGTTAACAGATATGCAAAGTACTACATCACACGTCATTGTCACGAGTCGTAAAATTTACAGACAGCTCGTGATTAGTGTAAATACAGCTTCAAGAATCACTGAAGAGCATTTATTATCGAAATGCGAATCTGGTGTGCAGTAAAATAAGTACCGTCAATGTTATTATGTAAAGAATTAATATACAAACCTTAGAGTTGCGTGGCATCTTAAATAACTTAATGTTGCCAATGGGCTGATCAGATTTTCAACTGATCAGTTTAGTTACAAGACAACACGTATATTAAACAAAACGGATGAACATACATACAATGTATTTATTACTGCACACAACACTTGACACCTGAATTTTACTCAACTGTGGTACCGATTTTGGTGTGCATAACATAATTCCTGATTACCCTTACTTAGTGTTTCCAACAGTAGCTACCAGGAGTGCTTCGCTCTGTCCTCGTTTCCATGACGTCCTGTCCTTTTTTGTAGAACATTTTGACGCCATACCCTTTTTTGTCGTATTTTATAATGCCCTGCCGTATTCAAGTTTTTTACAAAATGCTTAGGTATGAACTTTTACGGACTTATACAAATAAAAGCGGTATACTGGCTGATTACCTAATAATAAATTTATCGATTATTTTTTTTATTAATTATCAAAATAATATAACGCGAAATGAGGCCTTTGAATGGGACGAAAACAAGCATGCAGGGCTTGCTGGATGTAATTTATGAAAATCAGACAACTGGAAGATCACTACGCAATGACTTGGTATTTTTTTGTGAAGTATGAATTCTCTTACTTTAAAACATAAGCCTACTCAGTAAATATAGAATGCAAAAGATTGTACAGATGTGGTTAAAACAATCTGTAGAAAAGAAGGAAAACACAAACAAAAAGGGCAACTGCACAAACAACAGCCACACCTGAATGTAACATTCTTATTATAATAACCTTTATTCATGGAATTTGTGTTAATGAGCCACCCCAATGACATAGCAGTGCTGACAGAAGGTTCTTTGTGATAGAAAAATCTATATTTGAAAGGATTATTCGTTGAAGGGTCTGAAATAAGGAGATAAAAATCTATAAATACATTTGTGTAAAATCTTAATGAAATCCATTACAGTAACAATACATTAGAAGTAGGTTCATGATGTAACATGTAATCTTCTTTTGTCCCACGCAAAAGGTTGATGTGACATCTGCGACAACCCAATTCAACGGCTGTATAGAGCACACCCGAGGGGGCTTCACCTTTGTAAGACACACAAATCGTTGAGCAATATATAATTGAAAATTTAATTTAAATAAGCAGTATTAGAGAAATGTTCAAAGAAATTGGTGATTTTTGTGCAGAATTTTTTAGTAATTTTTTTTTTTGGTTCTGAAAAACATCAATTATAAATTTTTCAATCTGTCAAACGGTCCAATGACGGTATTTATTTTCACCTTCATTGTTCCGTCAAATGCAACCTTATTAAATCCCTAAGTTATGTAACAGTTGTATAAACAAAAGGAGTATTTTACGAAAATAAGATCAGAATTGTTGGTCATTGTTTGAAAATTTTTAGTATATCAACCTTTATAACTGCGTTTGAGTTTTATTGAAAACATGTTTATTTCAAAATGCAAACACTTATTATCATGAATCATCCATCATATTCACAAAGAATTCTGCCATATTTTGCAATATTCCCATAAGAGCAGAATGATAATTTAATTGTTATAATATAGAATGAAACATCTTCGGTCATACTGATGAAATTAACACTTCTGATCAACTTATGTTGTCACATTGGTAGACAAATTAACAACCATAGAAAATGTAATTTTACTACAAGTGTTGGTCTTTGTCTTTGAAACTGGACAGTTTACAGTGAATCACTATAGATACTTTATAGGTTTCTGTGACTCATTAATATAACTTTGATGCTGTAGTTATATCGAGAGGAATAAGTTTTATCAAGTACAGAAAATATGAAAGTATTGAAACGATAAGACATCTTTTAGACATCCATAGTCGTGTAAAGAGACCAATATCGGTTTGCTAATGAACCTCTAAAAGAAAAAAAGATAGTATAAAAGGCTGAATTTTATTTTTGTCTCTTACCACAATTGTCTACAGTCCTATATCGTCAGCGAATACAAAGTCAACTTATATTCCCGTTTTTTCTAACATTAAGTTATCTTTGCCGAGTATCTGCCGTTGGATTGTTTAATCCTGAGTGATACCCAAGTTATATTGTCCACTGGATGTCTGATTATCGAGTTGTCTCCACCTTGTTTCTGGTAACTCAATATTTAATTTCAAGCACCACTCATGAGAAAATTATTTTTCGTAATAGGTTTATGGTGCTTTCAAATTAATATTTCTAATTTACCATCTTGTAGTTTTGTATTTCTGTCATTGGGTTGATGCCACTTGATTGCAAGCCCGGTAAACATTATCTTATAGTGGAATGCTATTTCTTTTTCACTGAAGTAAAATTTTCAGTTTATTCAGAGATATTTGTTGAATACTAAGGTTACTCTCCGGTGCATACATGGTCCTTGTATTGAAGCTATGTTATTTTGGGCATATGTCCTTATCGGTGTTATGATTTTGGGTTTCGAATATTAAGTTTCACAGTTCATCAAATATGTTTCAGTAGTTCGTACTTCTATGTTGTGTCTGCTTGAATTGCCTCTATAACCCCTGGTGTTGTTTCTTGCTTGTATTGCATTGGATTTCTGATTACCAAGGTTTTTTTTATACATTTAATTGTCTACTATATTTATAATTCCTTACTTGTGTTTTCCTTATTTTACGAAAGCCATCACGAGTTGATTGACTGTTATGGAATATCCGTTACACAGATGAGGACGGATATGTTCCAATTGTCGTTAACACTATCCCGTCTCTTTCCCTCGAATGTGACAACACTGAATTAAACTTATCAGTGCGTTTGTACGTTTCTAAGCAACACGACTGGTGCTACATGTCGAGCAGGATCTGCTTACCGAATCCGGAGCACCTTAGATTTTGGGTTTTGTTCTTGTTGCTCAGTCTTTTAAATTAGTTTTCTATGGTGTTTTGTATACTATTGTGTGTCTTTTGGTCGTTTGTCGTTTTTGCCACGTCATTGTCAATTTGTCATTGACTTATGAGTTAGAATATATATCCCTTTGGTATCTTCCACCTTATATCGTCAAAACTTTATTTTTCTGATTTATGTGCGTCTCTAATTTGTGTGTACCAATGGTTTTTTGGTACTTATTTCCTTTACCTTTTACTGTCTCCTGGGTTTGTTATTTCAGTTATATCGGTTTTGTTTTATCCACTGAATTCTTTTCACTCGAATCTAACCTTTGCTTTGTATGACCCACTAGATTTCCCTTACTGGGTTGCATCTTTGCAAAATGATTTTTTATACCCGAGTTGTATCTTTACCTCGTATTACCCAATAGATTTCTGATACCTGAGCTGTGTCTTGGCTTCGTATGGCATTGATGTCTAATACATGAGCTTTATCTTGGCTTCGCATAGCAAATAAATTTCAGATATCTGATTTTAATTTTGCTTCGAAAGGTCCTTCATTTGGTACGTGTTAGACCAACATTTTGAAAGCAAAATAAATAAAAAGGTTTGACAGCATAAGCACCAACAGGATCTAAACAGAGCATCTAAGCCCGTGTACGGTAAATTTTGTGTAAGGGAATTCCAACTGATGGAAATTTACGATCAAAATTATCTATTTTAAAATCACGCCAGTAGCAAAGCATTGGCTACTCGGCGAACTAATAAGACTGACGCAGTAACTTTCTATAATTCCACGAGCAACGTTTTATTTACATTGCAGTTACTTGAAATATATTCAGTTTACCAAGAAAATAAACCACGACAATAATCCTTGAGGATTCATCCTAATTCTAGTGATATGATTCGTTTGCGTCCTTAACTGAAATATACGGTAAAATTTCATGCTTTGTAATTTTCAATAATAATTGGTATCAATTCGACTTTTTTTAAATTTTTTTTTTCAGAGCAGAGATTGTACAGTTTGTCGGAAAATAAAAAAGTCAAATGAATTCAAGCCACCTAGATTGGACAAAAATCGTAATCAAAGAAGAATATTCATAGATGGATATTGGAGTAGCAGAGGTTGTGAAACGAGATCGTACGGACAGTTTTTAAAACGATCGTTACTCTTTCATGCTAATGGTGTATCATGGGAAGGAATGTACGATTTCTACCGAGATCCAGACTGTAACCATGGTTCCCTCTCTGTTCATGTTTCGGGAGGTTACCTAAAGGAAAGAGAATCTCGAATAATCGCCGGAGCATCCGACTATAAATTTAATTTGACTCAGATGAGTATTATACCGCGTGACTTTTTCACAACGGATACACTGAACCATGCGCGGAATAATTCTTGTGGAATAATTGGTACGTGGAAGATTGATTCTGCGCAGTCAGTGGTTAGTACAAAAGGTTGTGATATTCTTGGTTTACACGTTCCTACAACGGAATTTGAAATAATCAAATTAGAACAAAGAAAAGTTGACGATGTTTTACTTGTTGGTGAAAGACCAACTGATGGGAAATCCTTATCGGGACCAAATATAAGACCGACGTCATTTCAGCCACCACTGGTTCGCTGTATGATTGAAAGAAATAATAATGAGCTTCCAGACTTTTAAATACCTCAAGACATTTTAAAAAAACCCAAATTGATTGATAACGATCAAATTTGCGGACCATATTTTATATATATTTGATATTTTAGCATATGTTTTCACCTCGATTAGTTTCAAATGAGTACTGATTAAACGTTGAAACTATGATACCGAAACGTCAAAACTGGTTCTTTTGATAGACTGTGCTTATGCTCTGCAAAAACAAACCAGCGAATTGTCACACAATATCCAAATCTTGTTCAAAACTGTTACAAAATAAAAAAATAATTACCTCAGTCATACTACCAATAGTGGGTAATGGTCACTATGCAGAGTGAATTCTGAATGAAACTCAATATAAATCTTACATAAAAAGACTTTATAGAATGATAACGAATCTCGACAATGACTTTTGTCTGTTAAAAATTTAAACAAACAATAAAATAAGTCCATTTTGTTTTCACTTGACCATCTTGAAAGCCAAGTCCACAAAAGGCACAATGTGCTTTCGTTGGAAATTTTAGAGGATGGGAGGACTACAGAATAAACGATCTACGACGAGGTTCCTGGCTTTGGAAAGGCACAGGAACATGTTTTGGGATAAATCTTGTTTTATTGTGATGAAAACGTACACCTTTTTAAGTTCTACCAGTGGGATATCAAAAAGTATAGAAAAAACGTATACATTTAAAGTCAGTTCAGAAGAACTAAACATTATAAAACCGGCATAATAAATCACTTCTTGTTTATGTCTTTTAAGCCGATCTGGCCCATAGGGCCATGTGAGTTATTGCTATCACTTGAAATCCGTCGTCGTCGTTCGTCGTCGTAAAAAACAAAAATAATCAGCAGTTCAAGATCTACAAAAATGCCAATATGACGGAAACCATTGGAGGACACCTTAAGGAGTAATTGCCCGTAAATGACGATTTTAAACTAATTTGAGTGTTTTTGTCTATTATTTCAAAAACTATTATAGATAGGTAGAAACTATCTCAAAAACTATTATAGATAGGTAGAAACTATCTCAAAAACTATTATAGATAGGTAGAAACTGTAAACAGCAAAATTAGTTAAAAAACACAAAATTCAAATACACCCCCAAGGAATTATAGCCTTAAACAATAACTTTTGACTAATTTTCGTGTCCGTTCTATACTTTTTCAAAGAACTTCTCCTCTGAAACTACTGAGCCAATTCCAACTAAACTTGGATTGAATTATCCTTATATCTTTTATAAAGTCGATCAGTGAAAAAAAAATTGACCGCCAAAGAACATGAAGATAAAATGCAATAATTGTCTTATATCTTGAAAACTATAATAGATAGAGAAAATCTGACAGGTACAATAATCAGAAAGTCAAGACTTACTTTCTGGTTACACCAAAGTCATCTGATGACTCCTCAGGATTGCCCTTAACTGACGATTTTTGGCTAATTTTCATGTTTTATCTTTTATCTCAAAAACTATATAAGATAGGCAGAAACTGTTATGACAAAAATATCAGCAAAACAAGATCTACAAAAATGCCAAATGACCGAAACCATTGGAGGCCTCTTTAAGGAGTTATTGCCAAAAAATGACGACTTTTGACTAATTTTAGTGTTTTGCTTATTATATCAAAAAGCATAATAGATATGTGCAAAATGTAAGAACTGTAAACAGCAAATATAATCAGAAATACAAAATCTACAAAATTTCAAAAATACAATCTAAGCAATTGGTTGAATCCTCAAGGAGTTATAGCGTCAAACGTTCAACTGTACTAATTTCAACAAAAATTGGGTGAATGATCCTTAGGGTATGTAGTATAAAGTAAGTCAGCAAACATGGCCACTTTGTCTAAAAATAGGACATAATGGTAAAATGCATTAACTAGATAAAATCTGACAGGGACACAAATGCTCAGACTGTCGAGATCTACCTACTTCCTATATTCACCAAATAATCTTACATTGTCTTAATTTATTTTTAGCAAAATACCAGGCGAGCGATAAAGGCTCCTGGGAACATTTTGTTTTGATAGTTGTTGTTTTGTTGATTTTGGTAATCGGTAAGTAAAGTAAGGTTTTATTGCAACAACTCGTATGAAAGTTACAAGAATGTCATGTACTAGTAGTTAAAACCAAAGATACGACATAACTGAACACAATACAGACAAAACAAAATAATTTTAACCTGGATTACCGCGATACACTTAACTTTGTATAATCAGCAGCTTCTAGATTATTTTGAATGCCATATTAAAATATTCTATTTTAATTACATTAAAAACGAGAACGAGAACGAGAATAAAAAAAACATATTTAAATCAATTATATACTGACGGTCTTTAAAAACGCAACACTAGATTATTATTTTTAATTCAAATTTTCAAATATGAATCATTGTAAAATGAATGTATAACCATGAATTTCATTCATTACTTCATTGTCTTAAAAAAGTTTGCAGTTCTAAGTTGAATTGATTACGTCATGTTTAAATTTCAAATAATGTGGTATGCACTGAAACCCTGGTTTTCTCTTATCAATGAATGTGTTACCATCGAAGACAACGACTGCCTGTAACCAACGCCTAAATTATTTACAGAAAAGTCAACTAGTTCTGTCGGGCATGTTTTGAGTTCTGTTTTGTGCCTTCTGATTTGGCCTCTGTCCCTTCCAGTACAGTGTGTTTTGGTTATTATATATGCTGTTTTTAAACTTTAGGGTTTAAACATTTTTTATGTAGTCGATTTTTTGGCATTTTAGTACGTGGGAAACATTTATGGCGTGAATCTGTCTGTTATGGCATTGGACGACTTGATTAGCAGCTGACGTTGCGGCCGTAAACATGTCTCGCAAATGAAGTTGCGTAATCAAATTTTATTGACGTGGCATTGTCACAACCTATTGATCTGGCCATGGATGGTCATCAACAAATCACGTCTGCCTGTAACGTTGTTGTAAGGACAGTCAGAGGAGTTTATGACGTGAAATTGTCATTCCTGTCTGCATTATTCTAAAGGCCCGATTCAGATTTTCATTGCTCAGTCTCGGCAATATGAAAATGCAACATTGTTTTACTGATTTTAGTGTGGGTATGGATTAAGAGAATTGTTTCACGAAGAAAAAAACTTAAAAAATCAATTATGGGTTTCAAATATCGCTTAAAGAAATTCATGCAACTTCAAAAATTCGATATGATCAATTACCTCACATACGTCAGGTATTGATTTAAAAAAAAAGAAGTATGGTAAGCATGAAAAGTAGTTAAATGAGGATCAATCGTGATTTGGTGAAACAAAATACCAAAAAGTTTGTTCCATTTTTAAAGTCCGGCAGTATACAATAATACGATTGTGACAAGAATCAGTATTACAGTCTCTCTCGTGAACTGTATCAGACTTTACAAAAAAAAAAGAAAAAAAGAAAAAGGAATATATATGTACGATTGATATGATTGTGATTGGAAACCTTGACAGACCCCAGAATAATGTTGTGAAGCTTATTTGAATAGACATTAATTGTCAAAATGAGCATCTGGTGCAATAAAAATTGGCAACGTTAATATTGAAGTCTGACGTGTTGTGAGTTCGATGTTCGTCCAACAATACTCTATATAACTTTGTATTTTTGAAATCTTGAATTCCATAAAATTCAGGTAAAATGTTTTATTGACCCCCGCGTAACGCGTTGCGGGGGATATGGAAATACCGGGCGTTTGGGCGTCCGTCCGTCCGTCTGTCCGTCCGGTCTTGTTAGCGGTCTCACATGTACAATTCTTGCCAGACTTTTATGAAACTTATATCATAGGTTTATACCAACAATGTCCTGGACAAGTTCGAAAATCAGTGCCGATCAATAATTTTTAAAAGAGTTATTTATGCCTCTTGGAAATATAAATTATATGGAGAATTGCATTGTTAGCGCTCTCATACTGTATGTACAATTCTTGCAAGAATTTTATGAAACTTAAAATTATAGGTTTATATTAGCAATGTCTTGGACAAATTCGAAAATCAGTGCCGATCAATAATTTTTAAAAGAGTTATGCCTCTTGGAAACATAAATTATATGAAGAATTGCCTTATGATCGCTCTAATGTGTACAATTCTTGCCAGATTTCTATGAAATTTATATCATTGGTTTATATCATCAATGTTCTTTAAAGAGTTCAAAAATCAGTGCCGATCAATTATTTTTAAAAGAGTTATGCCCCTTCAAAATATTAATTATATGGAAAATTGCAATGTTATCGCTCTCATGTGTTCAATTCTTGCCAGAATTTTATGAAACTTATATCATAGGTTTATATCAGCAATGTCTTTGACACTTTCGAAAATAAGTTCTGATCAAATATTTTTAATGAGTTATGCACCTTGGAAATATTAATTATAATGGAAATCACATTGCATTTGCTCTGAAGCCTTCATTTCTCTTAAGATATTAATAAAAAGTTTAAACGAACAAAAAACTGCTTTTTTGTTATTGCCCTTGTACATTGTATAGATAAACTAAATGCAACGCGGGGGACATTGGAACTCTGTTCTTTTATTTCAAAGCATTTTCATAATACATTACTAGTATTCGCGTTAGATAAATACTGGCTGATGTATATGTATCACCGTTATTTATATAAGAGGGAAATATATCAAGGTGCCAGTCAAATAAAAACAACAACACAATAGAAAAAAATGAAATGCTCCGCAGGGCGCAGCTTGATACGACCACAGAGGTCGAACCCTGAACAGTTGGGACAAGAATGGACACAACATTCAAGCTTGATACAGCTCTACATTTGGATTGTGATTAAATATTTGAAACAGCATAGGTTTCTGACACAGAATGAATGTGGTCTAAGAACTAAAAAAAATTGAAATCGGACATTTATCTATTATGGTCAAATATCCAAAATCTAAATACATGGTTAGATTCAGCATACGAAATAACCCCAATAATTCAATTTTTGATGAAATCAAACAAAGTTTAATTTTAGACCCTTTGGACCTCAATGTGGACCAATTTGATAACGGGGCCCACAATCCAAAATCTAAATACTCGGTTAGATTCAACATATCAAAGAGCCCCATATACTAGTACTCAATTTTTGTTGAAATTAAACAAGTTTAATTTTGGACCCCGCTTTGGACAAACTTGAAAACTGGGCCCAAAATCAAATATCTAAATACATGTTTAGATTCAGCATATCAAAAAACCACAAGGATTCATTTTTTTTTAAATCAAACAAAGTTTAATTTTGGACCCTTTGGACCTCAATGTGGACCAATTCAAAAACATGTTCCAAAATCCAAAATCTAAATACAAAGTTATATTCATCATATTAAAGAACCCCAAGAATTTAAGACTTTGAATTAAAACCTCATATAAATTGGTCAAGAAATAAGCAATCTATACAAAGTATTAGAAAAGTATTATTGTTGGCCCCTTTTCCTAAACAGTCAGTATATGAAACCT